GTGGTGCACCATTCAATCGGAGAATGAAGTTGTCAGTGTCATCTTGCAAGTGTGTCATCAACAAAAGAGTTAACATATCCAAAAAAAAAAAAAAAAAAAAGTGCTTTCTGTGACAGTTTGCTTGTGAAAAAAGAAGGAGCTGAACATTTTCTATCTAGACACTGCACCTTAGGATAATCTTGCACGTGTTGCACTGTGAATTTGGGATTCTCTGTTCCCCGAAAGCAAATATTATGCTTGTTTATCTTCCGACACATATGAAATGTTTCTTTATCGGCAAAATCTTTCCCCCCCCCAAAATGAAGCTGCATGTTGGCACAAAATCCAAAACGCTTTTGTTTGTCAAAGTCACTCAGATTTTGCAACACCTTCACTTTGCATGGAATCATTTTTAGCTTCTTTCTCAAAGTTCTCCAGACAGTGGTGGGCTGAGAAATCTGCACTTCATGACTCACCCTCCGCATTGATTTTACCCAGCTTCATTTAATGGTGGTGCAAACTTTAACGGTGACTTCTTGCAATACAGTCAGTCATCCAGGATTTTTGCACAAACAGCCCATAACTTAACAATTTTTTCATGCCACTGATAGATAGATTTTCTAGTTGGAGGTTCTTTTCTGAATTGTGATTGAAAATGCCATTGCACAGCAGCTGCGGATTCCATTTGCCTAAATTCAAGAACACAGAAAGCCCTCTCCTCTGCAGATGCTGTCATTTTGACTGACTAAACACATGACATGAATGCTATTGCCAATATCACTTCTGTCGGGGGCGAGACTTTAAGAGTACATCTACCTAACGGTTTGCTCAGGTGGTGCATGTATTTGACTGTTACTGTTTAACAGCATCTAGAAAGTGTATATTTCTTCATGAATCACCCTGTATTATTTTTTTACAATTATCTTACAAAGCCCAGGGGCAGCCATCATGAATGAATCTTCACAGCAGTTCTCAAAAGGGACATTAAAAGAACTAAGAGGGCTGAACAAAAGATCTGAATTTTGAAAAATCACACACATTAGGAGTAGATAAGGCTACATGTGTTTCGGACGTTTCTTAAATGTGAAAACACCTGCTACATCTGAGTAACTTAATGAAGAATCTGAACAAAATACATTTCAAATTATAAATGCAAGAGGAAATCAAATGGATGAAATGCTAATACAAAAATTCAAATATAAATTGAATGCAATGAATAAAAAAAAAAAAAAAAAAAAAAAAAATCAATGTTACCAGTAAACTAGCCCTTGAAGGGAAAAACTTTCTACAATACAGAAAAGTTGAAATTAAAGGAATATTTTAAAATTTCCGAATCCTAGCACTAAAACGCTGGGAGGAGAAAATATGCAAGGAAATATGGTATTCTCATAATTTCCCCCTTCATTCAGAAAGTGACTTTCTCTTGATTTTCAAATGAATTCATCATTCAGAATTTGTTTTATCTAATTAATTGAAACATTGGTGGAATTTGAGTGTATGGACTCTGATTGATGAAACAATAACAGTGAAGACCTTCAAGAAAACAGAAATATCTAATATGCTCGATGGATCTGAAGATCCTTATTGCACACGACAGGACAGACTGAAGAATGATAGAGATGACAACGACAATGGTGATGATTGCAAGCTACAGGAGATGATACAGACAGCAGTTCCAGTAGCATTGAATGATTTGAGGACTAAGGAGCAGCAGATAACAATAAGAGTGGGTAAGATTTAAGGTAAATGGAAATAGAAAGGAAGCTATCTTATTAGATAGTGTAATGTTATATCTTATTAGATAGTGTAACTGCTATGAATTCTTTTTGGAATGCAAGTTTCTTTAAAATAAATATTATTTCGATAATTATTCCTAGTTTAGCCTTGAATATTTTTCATTATGTTCTTACTACAACAGCAGCCATTGGAAATGAAATTACTCATATAAATTCCCTCTCTCATTTTATGCATGATAAAATTATTAAAAAAAAAGGTGTAGATGAGGAATACATGAGTAAATATGGTATATGAAATTAAAAAGTTATTTGGAAATTATTTAGACTTTTAGTACAAAACATAGCAAAAGAAAATCCAATTTTGAACAGCAAGATACCAGGAAATAACATAAATATTAAAAATACATCTGCCATTTTATAGCTAATTGTGTATTACACTATCCTAAACTTCCTGAGTGGATGACTATCTTTAGTGTATGATGAGATTTCTTATTTGGTATATATTAATTATAATAGGTCATTCAATTTTACTTTTTTTCTTTGATGACGTAAATATCATCTTAATGATTTAAAGTTCCTGAAAACAGACTAAGTAATTATACAAATTTAGTTAACAGAAGCTGTTATGTTGTGCCACTCACAGAATTAAGTGGATGCTCTGAAAACATATATCAATAAAATTTCAATCATATATTTTTAACTGGTTATGGTATCTGGTATCATTTCCAGCAAAATTATTGCAATCATTTTATTTTAATATATTAATCATTTCTACGAATAACTATTTATGTAAACAAAAAGTATTTGCAAAAAAGTATGATTTCATTTATTCAAAGGCTCATAGGAACAGAAGAAAGTGTAACAGAAATCAATTTCAAACAATACAATATCAGAAAACTACCGAAAAGTATTCAAATGATATAAACTAAAACATTCAGCAACTAATGTGTGCCATAAAAGGAAGGTTTTACAGGCAATACCAATTAAATAATTTTTGAAAGTCTGTATCAAATCATGAACATGCATTATAATTTTTAATCGACATGAATGATACCTGTATAAGAGACTTGAGTTTCATCTAATAACGTTTTTTGTTAACTTCAGGAACATCATAACATGACAGATTTTTTTTTTACCTTAAAATGAAGCCAATAGTCATTTCTATCAATAATTGATTACATATGAAAAGTATTTGCTAAAAAGTATAATTTATGGCTCTTACTCCCGAAGAAAAGAGACCTGCATCTGTCTGCCTTTGAAACTGATATTCTCATTTAAAATCCACACCAATTTAAAGTTGCTCCTCCATCTAATTTAAAATTTTACACTGGCATGTTTCTCAGGTATTCAACAAAGCATATAAAGTGAAGTTTTACAATTAAGCAGTTGTTGAAAATAATAAATTTATACAAAATATATGGTAAAGGAAAATGTGTTCATATTCAAAAAAAGTTTACCAATAAGGAATTTAAATATTACAATAAAGAAGAGTGATGCCCTATGGTGACTGGAATACACTTTATAGTCTCAAAACGATCTATACTAGTATTTTTAAAGTAATTAAATTGGCTTGAAATGAATATATATTACTTAGTTTATAAATCACAAACAATCTCTAACACATACTCACATATTTCATTCTAGAAACATAATAATTTTGGTAAATATTTCGGATACCTCTCATAGTCAAATTTTGGTGAATCAAATTTGTAGAGCTTTACCAAGAAAGCAATCACAAAGCAAGTTAAATTTATATCACATAACAAGAATGAAATATATACCAAAATTAGCTTGGAGCTAAATAAAACAGCTAGAAATGAATCGTACTAGCTCTGGCAGCCATTTTATATTGACTCTTCATTACATTATTACATTGCAAATTTTGCAATGCTTAAAAAAAAGAGAGAGAGAGAGAAGAATATTTTATTTTGAGTTTATTAATGATTCAGTGACATAGTGAAGAATCCAGCTATATTTAATTTCTGATTAATGGCTTGGAACGTGGCTACAGAGAAGTTTACCCGAGTTTCCCTTTGAAAGTCCTCTACTAACGTCTTCCTATAGCAGCCAGGCAAAAATTTGAGACCAGAAATAGTAACTGACTAAGGAGAAACAATAAGTAAAAAGAGAGAAAGTCTGCTCTCAGAAATTTGCAAATGAATAATTTATTACTTCTATCATGCTTTTTGTATTTTTTAAAATATATATCTTAGACTCATGGAAAAATTTGAAAATTTTTGAATTGATTCAGATATTAAATTGATCAGACTGACAAATGTCTATCACATATAAAGTGTTAGAAAATAATAAGTATAAAAGAGATGCAACATTTTTGCACTAGACTTCAGAAGATGATACATTGATAATTAGTTTGCATTTCATTTAGAAACACAATATTGTGCATAAGTAAGTTTTCAATGAGTAAAAATAAAAACAAGCCCAATATACAAATCCAGCATAATTAAGATTCAAATATTTTGAAGGGCAAGGAGCAGGACACCAAATATCCAATTCATTGTTTAGCACACTATTTACAAAATTACTCAGTTTAAGTACAAAATTCTTTTACTAGATCACAGCTTTCCATCCTTTCATTTAGAATTAAAATCAGTAACCATATATAAGGTGATAATGCTTGTGGTTACTTAACCTATTCTCCACAAAAAATTTATACAAAACAGTATTTATTGCACTGCAATAGCTTTCTGGTGAGCTGTTTAGAAAGAATAGATTATTGTCAAGTAGTTAATTCTCGGGCACTGAGATTTCATATGAGTGAATCTAAGTAGCACATATTTAAAATTAAAAACTGAAATTCCTTATTAAACTTCAACAATAAATAATAAAGCCAACTTAACTATTAACAATAACATTTATGATGAGCAAAGAGTTTCACATTTCCATGATTTACACTTTATATGTAAATACAGTAGAAACTCGACTATCCAGCATTCAACTAATGGAAAAAATGGAATATTAAAAAAAAAAAAAAAAAAAAAAAAAAAAAATCTGATTTTTAAAGAAAAACAAACAAAGAAGAGGCTTGTAAAGCCATCATGCAGCTCGCATAGCACAACTCAGAACCCCATTTATAACACCTCAAATGTGAATATAATTATATGGTTCTATTTTAGATGTTAATTATCCCCCTCCCCATTACAGCCATTGTATTGTGTCAAGAATATAACCCTAGAACTGGAAATTCCTTATAGAGTAAATAATGGAGATTTAGAATGGCATGGGAACATATGAAATAAAAGGCAAAGAGAAAAGAAATGTATTTACCATGGGTGCACTCAGCTGATCAAAGGGATTCTCCTTTTCCCTCACTCTATGTGAAAGCATGGATGAATTTTTCTCTATCTGTGGAAGAAAAGTGAATGTTTCTTTCTTTAGCACTGACAAAGTTGCAATTTTATTATGTTTTAGTTCAAGCAAAGGCCAGTTTTCTGCTCTGAAGTTAAATTTAGTTTAATGTGCTGTACATGTGCACTACAAGTTCCTTAATGTTTAACAATGTTTTTATCTAAAACACAGTGCACAGTACAGTTTTTGATTAATTTTATGATTTAATTAATGTTTCTGCTCACGGTTGTACAAAGTTCGAGTTATATTGTAAAATAAAATAATAAAGTAATTGATCCACCTTTATTTAATAGTTAATTTCATTTAAACTTATATCACTAATTCTCAATATGTATATACAACTTAAAAGTTGGATTGATTCTCTACTTTTTAATTCTTTCATTCCCATGCAATTTATACTATAGCAAATTTAACACGTTTGCTTATTCCATTCATTAGAGAATCAAGAGCTTACTAGTATAGGGTCTTCAAGTAAGTTTGCAATATTCTGCAGAGGAAATCTGATAGGAAAGTTATACTGATAGAGGATTGCTGCTTTACCAATAATCCAGCAAGAAATGTAAAAGACCCTCATACTTGAAGATAGATGATATAATAACTGAAACTTATAAAAAATTACCTTTGTATGTGGTATATAGAATAAAATTAATGCTGTTGTTTTACGAAAACAGCAAAATTTTTCAAAACGTTCCCACATTAATATAAAAAAAAAAATTCTTTTCTTTTTTAGAACTGTGTTTAATGGAAGACCATGCATCGGAATATTTTTAAAGTTACAGGGTATTGCCATCATGAAAAGTGTACATTAATGCACACAATATGGTCTTTATCTGAAAACAGATAAACAATGGTAATACAATGTGAAAAATTACGCTAAGTGATTTAAGTTTTTATAAGCAACATCTGAGAAATGTATCTGCTGATTATCTCAGTAAAGAAATATCTGTTTATTTAAACTTCAGCTGAAATGACTGACACATTTGAAAACATTATCAATTTTTGTAACTGATGGGATTTCATAATCTGATTAGATACTGATTTTTACTTTACATGTGTAAGACCCACAAAATACACAGACTTTTATGTCTGAAATCCAATTTAAAAAAAAAAAGAAAAAAAAAAGGAGGAAACCTTTTCTTTTTTTTTGGGGGGGGGGGGAACAGCTTTTGACATTCAAGTTGATAACAAATTAGATGTTTTTATAATTTCAGAAATTTCTTCTATTGATTTGGTTCCGCTACTATGAAGTGCATTTTTTATTTTTTTATTACTGAAATTTTCCAGTATCTCGCATTATGCATTTGCCAAGCTTTCTAGGCAGCTGAGTTTTTACTGTATATACATTTTCAGTTTTCTCCTTCTCTCCATTACAACCACTATATCTTCGGCAAATTTGCTTGCTTGTAATTACTTACTAATATAGTACTTAATTATATGTGCATGATCAAATTCCTGCTGCTTTTTCCATTTAAATGCTTTATGGCATAGATTATTAAAAAGATAATAAAGACCTTATTATTAAAGGCAATCATTCAGATTAGGTGAAATTAAATAAATAATAATAATCAATAAAATCTAACATTAAAATATTTAGCTTTTTATCTAGTTCATGATGATCACATAGCTGTTACAATTCTTCATTTATGATGATGAGCAACATATAAACTTTTACTCATTTTAATAGCAAAATTTTACATCTAAATACATTATAAATCAGTACCCTGATCCATCTTATACTATTTATGAACTTAGACTTTCAGTATACAATTTATTATAATTTTGCATTTTAAAAATCTGGCATAAACATTTACTTTCCATATTTAATAACATTTTTTAAATCAGACTTTTGTGGCATTTTAGAAACATAAGCTGAGAGAAAAGAACAGTCATTTTATTATAAATGATTAGATATTTAGTAAATATTATTATTTAAAATCATTATGAAAGGAATCAAAACAATCACCAAACACTTAATTGATTCTTTTTTTCAAACATATAAAATTTTATCAACAAAGAAATAATGTCAAATTAACATAAACAAATTAATTAAAATATTTACCTAAAATTCAAAGTAAATATGCCATAAAAATAAACCTTAAGAATCAAATGATAAAAATAAGTATTTTCATCAGCCCTACTTTTAAGTAAATTTCAGCAATAATGTATTCTGAAACAATCAGGGGATTTTGTCTTTAATCATGCTGCAAAAAGTTATAATCTTTTTTAAACTCATATTTTCCTCAATTCATTTAAAAATAAAAATATATTATTTAATATCCATAAATAAGCAAAAATTCTTACTCTATGAATAATATTCCCTCTATCAATGCAATTAAATTACATTTGTACAATGTTAAAAATATGCTTATCTAGCACCTGATGGTACGTAAGATTATCACAAAACAGTCAATACACTGCAAAAGCTATATTCATATCAACATTTCAAATATGTACACTGTTTCACTAATATATGGTTAGAGAACTGTTATCTCTAGACTTAAGAATGAACACAGCATCCACCGCTAGAGTGTTGAAACTGTTTATACAGAGACAGTGTTTCTTTATCGATTGATATAAGGCAAGATCGATTACACTCAACGGCCTCTCCAACAACCCCTTCCTCAGTTTGGCACGAAGCATCTACAACAGATATTAAATTCTCATCACTCAGATCTGTTGTTATGCTTTCAGGAACACTGATAGTATATGCTGTGGCAGAGGAATTTGAATTTTCATTAGGTTGCATGAACAAGGAACTATCGATAACGGGAACATCGGCAGGATCATCAGAATTACCATCATGACAATAATGACCTTCCATACCAGGACAGCCATTACAACACCGACCATGAGGCTTACATTTGTTAGGCCCACATTTACAAATATCTGCTAGTTTAGCAGAAGCAGATATGATATCTTCCACGGGTACAGTATCATCTGATGGAAATTCTGCATTGACTGGATCTGCACAGTTTAGAGACTCGGCTAAATGCGATAATGGATTTCCGAGTTCGGAGCCCGGCTCCGGTTCGACTTCCATACTTGGCACTGGCACAGGAGAGGTAATGGAATCAGCATCAATTTCTGGCTGTGTTCCCTTATCAGTTCTGATAGGTTCCTGAACTAAAGAAGTTGTTACAGTTTCTGAAGACAGAGATTGTGGAGGCAACACATTCACATTTCCAAGTGGAATCACAGCATAAGCTATTAAAAAAAAAAAATCAAAACTTTCAAAAATTTTAAATAACACTTCTAAATTTCATGCCATTTTTTCAGCAATGTTTGTAATTTAATAACTACATAACCTGGCTATGTAAGAGTAAATATTGTATTACTTGCAAAGGTGAAGTTGTAATTAAACAAGCAGTACTTCATACATAAATAGTGTTGGCTTTTTTGTATATTTTAGGTAGGTACGTGAAGAAGAATAGGATGCCTTATCGAGAATTAATTAAGAAACTGCAATTACATTTACACAGCTAAACATGGGTTCCAGAGGTGTTGTATATCAGCTGCATACAGAGAATATACAGCTGATACATAAGTTCTGCTAGTTACATAATAAAACTAGATATACATTATATTAATTAACATAGATAACATAATAACATGCATACACACACACATAAATCATAAACATAGTTCATTGTACACTACAAGCATACTAGTATTCATTCAAGCATGTATTTATTCATTGTACACTATTGATACAAGTACACTAATATATGAACTGCTGCACATAATTTGCACGCATAAGTTCACTCAGTCACTAGGGTGACTAGTTCAGTGAGTGTGAATTAATGAGGCCGGCAAATATCTTGCCTCATTACTGCAGTAATGTCCAAGACTTGCAATGAAGAGGTGAACAACATTAAATGCATGATCGGAAACTATTCCAGTGCCTCCTCACTGAAACATTTCCTTCGGCATGATACCAAACAGTAATCATATAGCTTAGGATTAATTTCAGTTCTATCCCAGATTTCTGCTCACCAGAAAAAATAATTATAAATAAGGGTCATACTGGAGGCAATGCAAAAGTTGGCCTTGCTTTTTTACTCACAGACTGTACAAACTCCACGCATCATTTAAATGACTCATCCTCTATGTAAGAATGTAATAGTAATTTCCTTCACAGTAGACTCTAGATGATACATACAAAATAGAAAAAGTGTAGCATCACTGAGTCTGATATCCACAGAAAGCCACAGAATATTGGATATTCACAGAGACAATACCATTCATAAGAGCAATATGCATAGTGAAAAAAATAGGAAAAGCAGGAAAATAGCACTTAAGGTACGTTACGCAGTGTGATGTTTATCAATTTAAATTAGGGGCACTAATCTTCTACAGCTAATTGAATTGATTATGGTGAATAATCTGTGAGCTTTCTACACAAGTAGGCCATGATCATAATAAGTTTAAAAAGCACAGTTGCCAACCTTAAAATCTTTAACCTGGAGGTTTTCACATTGTGTGGTGACACCATTTCAGAGGAATTACAAACTGACTTAAATTCACTTTATAATGCATGGTTTATGCTACTGAACTATTTGTAATTCAATTCTGATACAAACATATTAAACAAATTGGATGTTCTAAAGTTTATGTTCTTTGGTTCATTTCATAATTTTTTTATACTTTTATACCAAGAAAATCTTGAGTCGGGAAGAAAAACTTTAATTTATCAAAGTACACTTAAATAGGATGAAAATAAAATGAATAATTAAAGCACAGTGCACTTTTGTGGATAAACTTGGCAATGTGCAAGTTTGCGGGGACAATAGGTGCAGGGTCGTGCGGTGCACAACGGCAGTCATTAAAACTAGCAGTCCATCTCACTGCCTGTCTGAACAGGAAAATTCTTCTTATTTGAACACACCCTTCCCGGGGGGTCTATTCGGGTATAGCTGGGAAGCTACTGATTAGGATCTGTACCTAGGCAGTCTCAGCCACATGTGTTTAAAATCTATCTTCACAGGACTAGAGTCATCACTGGCAATGGCTGGTTCAGGCTCGACAGGAACCATATAGTACTATCTTGTCCATTCCGTTGGTTGTGGAGCTATACAGTCAGATATTCATGATTGTCCGGGGCAAAACACATCCCGTCAGTGGAATTGGTGAATTCAGCAAGCCTTGAGGTTTCCAGTGAGTGCCTGGAGCCTCAAAACTGCATATTCATATTCTTCCTTGGTTTCCCCCGTGGTGCGCCTAAAGCCAACATCTATATTCCACAACGTAGTGTTAGGAAACCGGATTGGTGGCTCGGTCTATTTGGCAGTATTTAAGTGACTTCGGTCTGCTATCCAAGGTTGGGGCCCCTGTTGAAGGCATCCCTTCAGGACGGGGACGTGGAATATGAGCTGCTGAGTATTCCTATTGACTCTGCTTAGTCTTAGCTCGTTGGCTTGACAGATAGGTTAGTAGCCTCTTGCATCACCTCTAGGGGTTGGGGCTTTTAAGTGCGTTAAGGCAGCCTTAAGTTCGCCCGGTCTGAGTGCCCCTTCCTCCTAGCACACTGTCTTATTTGACCAAAAGATTATAACCAGGGCAGGATTTAGTCTCTGGTGTTCTTTTCTATCTTACTTGAACGTGAAAATATGTGATGCTAATGCGCATGTAAGGGTAGACTTCGGCACCGTAGATGCATTTGACAAATTCCTTAATCCTTATTTTGAGTATACTTTTGCAATCGTAGTAATTTGTGCAACATTTACGTTTTTTGTTAATTGTTAAGCTAATTGTTTCATTTTGAATTTTATCGCCAAGTTAATGAAGCATATTTTTTTAGTTTGAATTTTATTAATATACATAGACATGATGGGGTAAAATGTTGCGATCACTTCTATACACTTTAAAAAATTATTATTTCTTTCAAATAATTTTTACTGGAACCACGGAAGGCTAAGTTTTGTTTCGCTAAAAACTGAATGGTATAGATATTCTTTCAATAACAATGCACCAATGCCTGGTCTCTTTTTTGTAATAAATTTTGAAATTAAAAATCAACAGGTTTATTCTTTCGTAATCGTTCTAAGAAATTGGACCAAAAGTGTATATTCCGGAAATGCATTTTATTTTTTTCATGAAGTTTTAGGTGCTCATTTAAGTGGTTCCAGTCATTAAATTCAGAACTACTCAATTTTATGTTGCTGAAGTTGTTAAATATTTTGCAACAAAAACAATAAACAGAATTTTTTCAGAAGAATTTAGCAACCAATCCCTTTTTAACTCCTTTTTGTCTGGCGAGATTCGACAAAAGCACATGTAAAAAAAAATTATGTCCGTTTTTGTCTTTTGAAAAACTGAAATTGGAAACCAGGTTATGATAATATCCAAGACCATTTTCTATTAAGGCCTGAACTTGGGATGGCAATAATGGATTTATGAATTCAGAATCATCAGGCACAGGCAAATGCATATCTACTGCAGAAATTGCAGATTTCACTAGTATTTCTTTTGTTTTTTCAAATGGCTGCATTGAAGTTAAAGGTAATTCCCGAGTGAAAACACCTTCTAACTCTTTGTGATTATTAGGTTCCTTTGGTAATTTCAGTGGTAGCTGAGACGTTGATGGACAACTAGTGCTAGTAGCTTCAGCTTGGGTATTCTTTGGATTTTGGAAAAACTGACTAATTTTAAGGTTCTGGTTTATTAAGTCTTCCTCTCGTTTTCTTTTTCATTAGATTCTGTTACCCAGATAGATTTTTCTGTTTTTCTTCTGACACCTGGGGGAAAATGAAGGCAGAAAAAGTGGAAGGAAATATAAAAGTAGAAAATAACTATAATAAGAACTATTACGTAACACACTTCTTAAAAACACCCAAAAAGTCACTGTTAGAAATATTTTACCTTACTTCTGAAAAACTGAATATATCTTAAACCATTGCTGGGAAAATATATGAAAGATTAGATCGATACCAAATAATTTAAGGATGTGGGGGTACTCTTTTGTTTATTAAAATAAATAAATCAAATTTAAAGTATGTTTTAAGATGTAATGAAATAACGAAACATTTTCCTTCGGTTTCCCGTATAGCTAAAAATCAAAAAATGGCAATTCTTTATTTCACAATACCTTGTATATTTTTACATCACTTCAAATCTCAAATAGGTATATTTTAAATTCAGGGATACTCCATAAATATGTCAATCCTTTCTTCTAGAAAGATATAGTTTTTAGTTTAATAAACAAATGGTTCATACAAAAAAAAAAAAAAATTAAAGTAATTATGCTTAAATCGTTGCTCTTCTGAAAAGCTAATATGCATCAAATTCCCACTAAGATGACCACTCGCCAATTACCATGGTACTTAATATAGCTGTTTGAAATAAGAAATACTTTCTGAATTTTGTGCTTGAAAATTTTAGTCGCATTTGTGTGGTCCATCATATTTAATGATTTTTTTTTACACTTTTATCTTTTAATAAATGACTTTTTTACAACTATTTTATCCATAAATGCAATTATCTTACGATTTTGGCAGTAAAAAAAATTAGACACTTATTTCGATGACCTTTTTATTTCAAATTTCTTAAACTGCTAAAAGCGTTAACAGAAAAATACCATTTAATATTAGCTGTGATGCCATAAACAGCTGTGGATACAGATCTTCATTGAATTTTTAGTTTCATGAATAGCAATAATAGGTAATTCAATATTACAGCCCCTCACAATGTTCTACCTTGTAGTCCACTGCATGTCAACTTATTGATAATCCTTTTATGGCTCATGGAGATGCATATCTGTTCAACTTGTGAGAAAAGGCTTCATATATAAGGAGAATTTACCTGGAGATTTTATGTGTTAGTTCCATGAATTCACTAACACATGCTACATATTACACTTCTCAGAGGGGAAAACTCTTATTTGCATGTTGTTGTGTATTAAATATAAGATAATATACAATACTCTTATTTTTAATTGTTAATTACTGCTAATTTACAAGCAAGAAAACTTTTTCTGTTCTATAAGAATTGAAAATTCTAAAACTTGCAAGTATCTAAAACATCTCCTTTAAAACAAAATATAACACACTTTTATTAAAACCAACATTTATAATTTAAGAGCATTTTATCTATAATTTAAGCACTTCCATCTGCAGCGTAAATTATATTCATTTCACTGTGAGCCATCAAATTACACTACCTGACACTAAAAATGCAACCAAGAAGGAGTGGCCAGAAAGTGATGAAAC